TGGTGCCAAATGATGGGGAGAGGCTTGGCAAGATCCTCCACCAGCTCCTTCAGCACCCTCAGGTGGATCTTATCCGGCCCATAGACTTGTGGGTGTCCAACTGGCTTAGCAGGTTCTTCACTGCTATTTCCTGGATTATGGAGGATCATTCTGTCCTCCATCTCTTTCTTCCAGCTCAGCGGTCTGAATACCACAAGGACAACTAGACCAACTATTAAAGACTGAGGCAAAGAAGGCATTCTGCACCTCAGCTGTTCCCTCATCCTTCGTAACAATGTTCCCCCTCTCATCCAATGACAGATGGAGATTCCCCCAGTCTTTTTTCTGTTGTTAGCATATTTGTAATAACACTTTTTATTATCCCTTGTAGTGGTTGCCAGGCTGAGTTCCAGCTGAGCTTTTAGCCCCCTAATGTTTCTTCTATATGACCTAAGTAAATCCCTATATTCTTCCTGACTAGCCTGCCCCTTCTTCCAAAGTCTGCCCTTCAGAAGTCCATGGTAATAGTTTTACTGCTCCCGCTCCTTTCTTGGCCAAGTATTGAGAACTCTATCATTTCATGGTTGCTGAGCCCAAGACAGCCTCCGACCACAACATCCCACACCAGTCCTTCTCTGTTTGTAAACAACGAGTCCAACAAGGCACCTCCCCTGGCTGGCTCCCTCACCATTTGAGTCAGGAAATTATCTTCCACACACTCCAGGAAACTCCTGGACTGTTTACTCCCTGCTGCATTATATTTCCAGCAGATGTCTGGTAAGTTGAGTTCCCCCACAAGAACAAGGCCTTGCAATTTTGCAGCATCTGCCAGTTGTCTATAGAACAATTCATCAACCTCTTTATCCTGGTTGGGTGCTCTGTAATAGACTCCCAACAGGATATCCACCTCGTTGGCCTGCCTCAACTTTACCCATAAACATTCAACCAGTCCATCATACTTGTAGACCTCCATGCAATCAAAACAATCCTCAGTATAGACAGCCACCCCACCACCCTTTCTGTCTTGCCTATTCCTTTTGTAGATCTTACAGCCATCCATTACAGCACTCCAGTCATGAGACTCATCCCACCACATTTCCATGATGGCAACTATGCCAAAGGTATCATGTTGCACAATGGTCCACAATGGCTTCCAGCTCCTCCTGTTTGTTGCCCACGCTGTGTGCATTAGCTTAGATACACTGGAGCTGGGCTAACAACTTCATTCCCAACCACAGACTGCCACCCTTAGGCTCAACTCCAGCAGGCCCAGTTTTATCCTCTTCCCCCTTTGAACCCTTTAAAGCCCTTTCAATGAGCCCAGCCAGCTCATACGCAAGGGTCCCTTTCCCCTTTTGAGACAAATGAACTCCACCTGTTGCCCCCAGACTCCGGGCAGCATAAAGCTCCCCATGTTCGTAAAACCCAAAGTTCTGTTGGTAGCACCAGCCTCTCAGACACATGTCAATCAGGTGGGTCTTCCTCCCTCTTTCAGTATTCTTCCCTGGCACTGAAGGGATTGAGGAAAACACCATCTGGGCTACCGAGCCCTCAAGTGATCTCCCCAGTGCCCTGAAGTATTTTTTTAGTTGTTTTCAGGTTTCCCATTGTAGCATCATTGTTACCAATCTGCATAACCAACAGGGGACAGTATTCTGATGGCTGAACTAAACGAGAGAGTTTCCTAGCAATATCTCTGACCCTGGCCCCAGGCAGGCAGCAGACCTCCTTATGGAGTTGATCTGACTGGCATATGGGGCCCTCTGTTCCTCACAGAAGAGAGTTGCCAACTACAATTACCCTCCTTTTTTTCTTGTGATGGCTGAACTAGACGAGAGAGGTTCCTAGCAATCCCTCTGACCCTGGCCCCAGGCAGGCAGCAGACCTCCCTATGGAGCTGATCTGACTGGCATATGGGGCCCTCCGTTCCTCTCGGAAGAGAGCCGCCAACTACCATTACCCTCCTTTTTTTCTTGTTAGAGCCAGTCCTAATGCACGAGGGACACCTGCTTACCTTGGGTGACCTACCCGATGAACCTTCATCTCCATCATCATTTGTTTATCCCTCAATTTCCAGAGCCTCACATCTGTTTCACAAGGGCAGCTGGGAAGGAGAGGGCGGCTGGGAGGGG